AAAAAAAAAAAAAAAAGGAAGTAGTCCTCTTTTATTTTTTTTATTTTTTAATCTGTTGATTAGGGCCGGGAGGAAAGTATTGTTGGGTTGGTTTCCTACCTACCTTTTCCCTCCCACCCACCCCTTTGCCTGCATTCCCGATTTGGTACAGTGCCACGTCAGCAACAGTGCCATGTCAGCAACAGTGCCACGTCAGCAGTGCCACATCAGCAACAGTGCCACGTCAGCAACATGTCGGGCCCAGCTCTGGGCATGCCAGGCCAACTGGCCAACGAGTCTCTTGCCAACTACAAACAGCGGTTCCAGACTCAGCTCGCCCTGATCGAGGCTGAGGAACAGCGCCAGCTGGCAGCCGAGGCTGCCCACCTACAGGCTGAAGCAGCGGCAACAGCTGAGAAGCAGCGGCTTCAGGCCGAAGCAGACGCAGATGCCAAGGCTCGCCGCAAGGAAGCTTAGGATCTGCTGCAGCGGCACGAAGCAGCCAGCGTCGAGAAACTCAAGTTCTGGCACTTTGAACAAACGCGTCGACCACGTCGTCGCAATGCTCGGCGACATTAGCACCTTCGCTGTGCCAACCACCATCAGCAAACAGTTGGATACCTTGAAGATCGAGGTCCAGCAACTGCAGCTGCCTAACAAGGATGGCAACAGCACAACACATTACAAGATGCCAACTTTCCAAATTGAGAAGTTCGATGACTACACGCATCAAGACCCGGTCCTCTGGTGGGAAGGTTTCATGAGGCAACTTCGGATTCTATTCGTCGCCAAGCACACATACATCGGCGCCCTGTTTCTTAACTCAAAGGGCGGATGCCAGATCTGGTTAACCCACCTAGCATCCACCCACGACGTCGACGTAGCAGATCTGAAAGACAAGATCTCATGGGAAGAATTAACACGACTGTGGAAGAAGCGGTTCATCGTGGACGACGCACCGACACTCGCCATCAACCGTCTCTTCGGCATGACGCAAGGCAACACAGCAACACGTGACTAGCTCACGTAATGGCAGAAGATAGCGGCAACGCCCGACCTTGACTTGCCATTTTCGCATCTGCGCCGGGAGTTCTACAACCGGTCATGTGCTGCACTGAGCCTTGCACTTGGTGATCGCGAGCAATATGCAACCTTCGCTGAGATCATTGACAAGGTGAGGGAGATCATCAAGACCAACAGGGCGGCTGCACATGAGAAAACAGCATGGCAGCCAACCTATGTCGAGAAGGTGAAAACTGGTCCGCGACCGCAGCATGTTGGTGCAGTCCATTCGGACAACATTGTGGAAGACCCGGCAGCCACCCAAGCGTCACGTGAGGGAGATTAGGTGGCTGCTGTCCAGCCGCGAAGCGACAACAAGTCCCGAGGAAATGGGAAGGCGAAAACCGCATCGCCGGCCGGAAACGGACAACCAGCACCATGGGTCAAGTTTAACTTGACCGAGGCCGAGTACAAGTACCGAGGCCGTTACGGCTGCTGCTATTGGTGCAACAGCACCAAGCACAAGACCTCCCTCTGCCAAGATCAGGGCAAGGAGGATGTTCGACCTCGCATCAACTCGGGAAACTGAGTTGCGCTGGAGGTGAGGCGACTCCACCTCCCACTCCGCCAGATTCGGCCGCCTTGCTAGCGGCCTCCTACACATCTGGGGAGGATGCGAATGTCGTGAGTTCTCGGTATGCTTACGAGAACTATGCTGTCCACTTGGTCCCACCGTTGGACCAACCGCTCCACGTGCAACAATCTACCGCATGCACGGTTTCATCACCATCGGCGACCGATTCGGCAACTTCGTCGCCATCTATCGTCGGGGATTCAACGTCATGGTCAAGACTTGAAGAGCTCGACCCGTTGACGTTCGCGGACTTCCAATGGATGCCCGTTCCCCCGACCGGTCGATTGCCGAAACCGCATTGCAACGTGCTCATGGCACAATTGCGGGACTACTTGCACACTGTAGTACCGACTCCGTTGATGGACGCCGGAGTAGAGGTTGTCGACCTTCACGCCTACATTGCGAAGATCGACCGCGAGTTCAAGACACAACGGTACGACGACATCGACGCACCATTGTTGTATATACGCATTCAGATCGGAGAGGCGACCTGCAGCGCTTTGATCGATTGCGGAGCATCTTGCAACTACATCAGTCAGGACTTTATGGTACGCGCTGGCCTTGGCCCACGCGTCCGGAGGAAGTCCCAACCTACACAAGTCACTTTGGCAGACGGTCACACGCACAAGTCAATCGGCCGGTGCATTGATGCTGTCCCCGTGTACTTTGCCCCGCATGCAAGGGAGGCGGTGTCCTTTGATATATTGGACACCAAATTCAACATGATCTTGGGCATGTGATGGCTGCGAAGCGAGGATCACCCGGTGAACTTCTACCACCGCACCATTCACATTCGTGATCGAAACGGAGTACTAGTCCCATGCACGGTGCCTCTTCCTCATCCTTCGATCAGCTGCCATGTGGTGTCCGCCGCAAGCATGCGAGCGTCCATCATCAGAGACCACATCGAGGAGATGGGGGTGTGTTTTCTCCACGCCCTCCCGCCCCATGACGCTTCATCGACGGACTCATCTTCGGATCCACGCATCACCGAGCTTCTCGACGCCTACAGCAACGTGTTCGAAGGCCCGCACGGAGTAGTACCGGATCGACCCATCCGCCACGAGATCATCCTCGAGGACGGGGCCGTACCTCCGTGTGGTTGCATCTACTGAATGAGCGAGGAAGAGTTAAGTGTGTTACGGGCACAACTCGACGACCTCCTGGAGAAAGGTCGAATTCGGCCTAGCTCATCGCCATACGGTGCTCCTGTTCTCTTCGTCCGGAAGAAGAACAAGGATTTGCGGTTGTGCATCGATTATCGCAAGCTCAATGCGCAAACGATCAGAAACGCCGGCCCTCTGCCACGCATCGACGACCTTCTCGAACGACTGGGCGGCGCCAAGTTCTTCTCCAAGCTTGACCTCAAGTCGGGATATCACCAACTCGAGATTCGGCAGGAGGACCGTTTCAAGACCGCGTTTACGACGCGATGTGGGCATTTCGAATGGCTGGTTATGCCATTTGGCCTTACGAATGCCCCGACCACTTTCCAAGCGGCTATGACAACGGAGTTCCGACACATGCTGGATCGATACGTACTTATCTACCTCGACGACATCCTGGTGTGCAGCCGGAGTTTGGACGAGCATGTGGAACACCTGCGCACCGTTTTGGAGCGGCTACGACAAGCCAAGTACAAAGCCAACCGCGACAAGTGCGAATTCGCGAGGCAGGAGCTGGAGTACTTGGGACATTATGTGACGCTGCAAGGCATCCGTCCCTCTTGCGGACAAGATCTAGGCCCTACGAGTATCGCCCGAGCCCACCAACACCACGGACGTTCGTTCATTCATGGGATTGGCGGGCTACTATCAACGGTTCATCACCGGGTACTCAAGGATTGTTGCACCTGTGACGAGATTACAATCGCCAAAGGTGCCATTCGTATTCGATGACGACGCACGCCGGTCATTCCAAGCACTCAAGACAGCTATGCTCACGGCAACCGTCCTTAGCATCTATGACCCCACCCTGCCTACGAGAGTGACAACCGACGCTTTCGGCTATGGCATTGGGGCAGTCTTGGAACAACACGACGGCGACGATTGGCACCCTGTGGAGTATTTCAGCCACAAAGTGCCTCCCATCAACTCGCTTGATGATGCAAGGAAGAAGGAGCTGCTCGCGTTCGTGATGGCTCTCAAGCGATGGCGGCACTTCCTCCTTGGGCGTCGTAGGTTCACATGGGTTACGAACAACAATCCATTGACCTATTACAAGACGCAGGATACGGTGAGCAGCACGATCGGACGATGGATGTACTGCATCGACCAATTTGACTTCACACCGAAACATCTTCCCGGCCTCTCCAATCGCGCAGCAGATGCACTCTCGTGAAGACCTGATCTTTGCGCTATGACACATCATGCCTTCGCATTCAACGAGGAACTTCAGCGACACTTCATCCGGTGATATGAGTCTGATCCGGACTTGTGCAACTATCTTCGGATCACTCGCCGGCCAGCCACTATCGCATTGTCGACGGGTACTTGCTCCTCCACTCGAGAGGCAAGGACTTATTATGTGTCCCACGAGACCGTCGTCTTCGGACTCGCCTTCTCGGGGAGTACCATGACTCGCGACTCGCCGGCCATTTTGGAGTCAACCGCACTATTGCACGGCTTCGACAACGATTCCGATGGCCCGACCTCATTACCGATGTCACTCGGTATTGCGACTCTTGCGAAGTTTGCCGACGAAGCAAGCCCCGCAATCGCAATCCCTATGGCGAGTTACGCCCGATGCCTATCCCACAGGAACCCGGTCTCTCTATTGCTATGGACGTCACCGGTCCGTTCCCCCGCGACCGGCTCGGGCACGACGGCATCCACACGGTTGTGGACCGGTTGAGTAAGTACGCGCGTTTTCTCCCTTGCAAGTACTACTCCACGGGTCCCGAGCTGGCACGCCTCTTGCACACCGGCTGGATTTGCGGCCATGGTGTACCGGAAGACAGAGTCAGCGACCGCGACACTCGCTTCATGTCGGCATTTTGGACTGCTCTCATGCAGGAGTCCGGCACGAAGATGAAACCAAGTTCATCTCGGCATCCACAAATGGACGGGCAAACGGAGTGGGCACATCAAACCGCTCAAATGCTTCGTACGCTCATCCGTCCGGACCAGAAAGATTGGGTTTACCGCCTCCCCGACATCGAGTTCGCCTACAACACTTCGGTGCACCGAGCGATCGGCGTGACTCCATTCGAATTGCACCACGGTGGATGGAAAGGCCGTATCTTCGCCGACCTTCTCCTCCCACGACCAGCCGATATCAACGCCGCTTGCTCTCCTGCTTCCGTCTGGAAGCACAGGGAATTGCTGGCTCAAGCCCGCGCGAATATGCAAAAGACTCAAGTCCGCATGCACAGCAAGCCAACAGGCGTCGTGTGCCATGTCCCATCCGCGCCGGTGATCTGGTTTGGGTCTCCGCGGAAGAGTTTGCACTGGAACAGGACGTTTCACGCAAACTGCTTCCCAAGTGGTTTGGACCATGGCCCGTAACAGCAGCCGCGGGCGATGAGCCCGATGGCCCTTCATTTGTGATCAACATCCCTGCGCATCTGACGGTCCATCCAGTCTTTCACGCCTCGAAGCTGGCAACATATACACCAGCTAAGAGCGACGACTTCCCGGGCCGACGATCGCAGGACCCTCCATCTATGGATGGTCATCAGGAGGTTGACCTCGTCATCACGGATCGCAAGTACGGCAACAAGCCTCGCCAGTACAAAGGTACATTCAGAGCATGCGATCCTGACGACACTCGATGGATTTCAGGAACAGATTTGAAAGCATCCGCACCGCTGATCTACGCTCACTACGAGCGACAAAGGTTAGCTCAGGGACCTTCACGACCTGTCCCTCCCACCCGGACTGTGGTCCCTCCCTCAGACAGACAGCTTCGCCCTCGCAAGCAAGCTCGGTTCTTCAAGGAGGGGGGGCTGTGGCATATTGCGTAGCCACACGGGCTTGCAGGGCCCGTCCCGCATTCTCAGCCTGAAAGCCTAGAAATAAGGGCTTACAGGCCCCTGTTGTTTCAGCCTGAAAACTGAAAAAGAGGGCCTGCAGGCCCTATTTCGTTTTCAGCCTATAACAGGGCTTTTCAGCCCTGAGGCTTTTCAGCCTGAAACGGAGGGCCACTTTCGGGCCCTCATAAGATCGACCTACCCTAATACTCAGGCACAAAACCAGGGTTTCRGGAACRGGCTATCTTTAGCCTGTTCCCAYGACAGCCTCAAGCAGGAGCTGCAGYGGCAGCCCCTGACTCCCTGCGGCATTGGCAAGAGCAGCCTCCTGGACTGCCTCGCCCTGCAGTCAGGAGGCCGGCCGAGAAGCACATAGGGAGTTCCCATGCACTTCACGGGTAGGTAGTCGGACGTAGACAGGAGTAGTCTTCAGGATTCGGCCGCAGCACTCAGGAGGAGCGCTGCACTGCAGTAGTGGTTAGCGCTAGCAGTAGTCTTCAGCGCTGGGCACTAATAGCTGCAGGAGTAGTCTTCGGCGCAGTGCGCTAGTAGCTGGTAGTAGTAGTGTTTGGGAGAGATGGTTGGCGGAGGCCAGCGGTACTTACCTGTGGCGCCATAGCTCCAGCTCCATCTTCGAGGTACCTGCATCAAGGCGCCATCTTCACAGGTTAGTACTGGACACAGAGAGAGAGAGAGAGAGAGAGTTCTTCTTCTTCCTCTTCTAAGTCCACCATCTCTTCTTCACCCTCTCGCCACCTGACTTCTCAGTATCAGCAGACTACGACAGAGAGAGAGAGAGAGAGTTGTGACTTGAGACTACGACATTGGATTCAGACTCGACATTGGGATTCAGACATTTTGACGAGGGACTATTTGGGCCTGTGCCAAAGACTTGGTGTTGACGACATTCCCATCTTTCCCTCCTCTTCGTCTAACCCCCCTCTTCTTCGTCTGTGTATGGTTGGGGCTGGCGCATTCTTCCTGTGTGAGCGCCAGACCCCTTCACACCATGGAATGATGGTGATGATGTACGTTCGGGGCTGCATTGCAATACTGATTGTTCGGATCATTGGTATCTAAGTCTTCCGCTACGCTATCTTGTACTTTGTATTGAGAGGTCGGTTCTTGTTCTGGTCTGCACAGTTACAGTATGCAACACAGGCCCTTCCCTATATCGAAGTGGCCTGCCTGCGTCCAGTCCCAGGAAGCTTCCAGTAGGCCCGGGTAGCCTGAGGCCCAGCACGTCGAAAGCAGGCCTTGGGCCTGAGGTAGTTGCTTGTGCCCAACTGCCTGTGGCCTGTGCTCGGCCCAGTACCCGTATCCAGCCCAGGGCCTGCTGCACATACATTCACGTTGGCGGCCCAGGGCCTGGATTCACTCAACCAACTGGCGCCGCGCAACTGCCTGAATTTCCCTGAGTTGCGTGGTGGCCAGCTGAGGGCCTCGTCGAGCCTGCCTTCACTTAGGGCGGCCGACTGGCTCCAGAATGGGGGCTGAATGGGACTCAAAGAGGCACTGGCCTCGCAATAATATTAATTAATTCCTTTTCAATTTTTTTTTCTCTTTTTCAGAAATACGTTTGAATTAATTAATTCTTTCTCAACATTGCTTTTTCGAAATTTGAAAACAATTTCAATTAATCCTAGGCTACCAGAGTGGCCGGGGGCCACTTGCCCGGCCGGGCCAAAAATGCAAGGAACCCGACTGTTAACACTTGCTGGAGTGCACCAAATATCATGCATTCACACACATTTCACAGATGCGCGATGTCTCACACAAAGCTTCAATGGGAGAAAAACGAGACCAAGGAACTCAGCTCAATTACAATAACCAGAATAAGAGAGTTTATCATGAGTTCAGGATATACAACGCCGCAACAGGATTGTAAGTCTTCCTCCTCCTTCGAACCGGCGTACAGAAGGTAAGTATCACCATAACTTTCACTCCCCTCTGTCCTTCCTCTCTCTTCCTCTCTGTATGTCTTCTTTCTCTCCTGTTGTCCCAATGTAGTAGCCCTGGTCTTCCTTATACTCACACATCATCTATGCACACTCCCTAACACATGAGGATCTACTCTGAATACTACTCACTGATGTACAAACTCTATCACCCCTACTTCTAACACAGGCCGGCGCAGCTATGGCTGCTTCAGCAAGCCAGCGCCCAGCATCTCTCTCTCTTGCGCAGCGTCAAGCCAGCGCTCTCCCTCTGCATGCTAGCGCACAAGTGCCTTCAGCACTTCCACGCATCAATGCTACTGGAGTTCTGTCGTGTTGGAGGCTGGTCTGGCACGGCCTTGCGAGGCCTGAATCAGCCTCCCTTGGGACTCATTCCCTGTCCCAGGCTGTGTAGAGTGTGTCCCAGTACCTTTCCCTCAGGGTCTGCTGCTGCTGCGGCCTTCAGGCCTGGATTTCGGACTTGGGGCCTGTATCTAGACTCTCCCTCTGACTTAATTCGTGATTGGGACTTAACCTTTTGACTTCTATTGAATAGGCACACCTACTGCCCGAACAGACACACATTACGTACGAACAGACACACATGCTGCACGTACAGACACATCTCCTGTATGAACAGACATGACTTGCACACCCCCTGGATGAACAGATGTGACTCCCATATCTGAATATTGCAACTGTTCGTCCAGGGGCACAATTGTGACCTTTGACATTGACTTTTACTTAGCTAGGATGTGACTTTTGACCCAAAGAACATGTCCTTTGGTCTGTTTTCACGAGCTGGGCTCTGGGCGAGTGACCCCACTATGCTGCATTCGTCAAACAGGGTCTGAATCAGGTAAAGGCCCTTTTAAAGATAATAATAATAAAAATATATGCGAGGCACAAGGCCTCGATAAACCCCACTGGGCCCTATTTGCAACAGCGTCGGCCGCCCTAAGTGGAGGCAGGCCCGACGGACCCTCAGAGGCCTATTTTGGACTACTTCGCAACTGGGGAAATTCAGGCAGGTGCGCTGCCCCAGTTGGTTGGTAGCGCCCAGGCCCTGGCTTTCTTTATCAAATGCATCTAAGTCAGGCCCTGGGCGAGATTCGCAACATAGGCCCAACTCAGGATGCGGGCAGTTGGGCACAGGTAACTGTCGGCAGCCCTGGGCCAATTCGTTTGGTCTGGGCCTCAGCCTACCGGGGCCTACCGGAAGCTTCTTGGGAAAGGCCCAGCGCAGCCTGGGACAGAACGCAGGCAGGCCGCTTCCATATAGCAAAGGGCCTGCCTCCACATTCGACATTCGGGTGCTGGCTGCATGCTGCGCAAGCGCTGCTGCGCTGAAGCTGGCTGGCACTCACTCGCTCACGGGCGAGCAGGAAGGAGCAGGCAGCCATAGCCGAGCTGCGCTGCTGTGAGCTGGGTGAGGCGCAGGGTGGTCCTTGGGTGCAAGTGGCATCTGTGTGTTGGGGAACGAGGTTGTGAGTGAGGTGAGAGACATACCTGGTGCTGGAAGCGTGCGACATTGGTCGCTGTATGCTCGTACTTCGGGAAAGCTGTTGACGTCATCTTCGACATTGTAGTCTAGGCTAGATAGGATCTGCCATCTGTAGTCTGGGCGCCGAGCGCCAAATAGGCTATCAACATTGGTTCTTCGTTGATGATGATGATGAGACTATACCAGCATTGTCAATTATGAACTTATGGTGTGCTCTTATTTGGTGAAACTCGTGATGCAATTGTGCTCTTGGTTCGAGGTCACGACAATCTGGTCTTATGTGTATGATGCTGTTTGATTGCTGAAGTTCGCTATTGCTCATCTTCCTTGCACAATGCATATATATACATACAGGTTCACCAGCCCGTACGTACAGAGGTCCCCGGGCAGACCTCCGTACGTACGGGCGTTCGGGGTCCCGTACGGGGTCCGAACCCGACGGCGTTCGGCCCCCGCCAAAAATTATTTCGGGGCCTACAAATAATACGTTTTTTTCTGAAATTTTTTTTGTGAGTTCTCTATGACGTGAGGTACATGCCTGTAAATTTTCAAGTCATTTGGCTAAGCCAAATAAGAATTAAAAATCGCCAACGATGGTGGTGTCAAAACGTGCTCGCCCACGTATTTTTTCACTTTTTACTTTTTGTTTTCACTTTAGTTCGGGGTCTAAACAATTTTATTATTTTTTGAAACGTTTTTAGTGGGTTTTGTATTATGTGAAGTACACATCTGTAAATTTTCAGGGCATTTAGCTATGCCAAAAGAAAAAGAAAAATCGCTAAAGATGGCGGTGTCGAAAACATGATGTATGTTGAAACAGATATTGCAATGGAATTAGCAGAGCAGTAACACAGCAAACTCGTAAGAGGCTGCAATGATCAGCAAAGCAATAACAAAGCAAAATCGAGTATCCATCGGTGTTACCGAACACAAAGAAAGTGTCATCACACGTCAGATACAACTGTGTTCCGAGCGGGTATGGCACCCCGACCGGTTTTGACCGCCACCACGCGGTCTTCTTCAGGGGGAAACAACCTTCTTCTCCTGACACTGCTCGTTCCTTCCACTACCCTCCTCCGTCTTCGAGACATCCAGCCATTTCCGGAATGACTGGCTCCCGTAGCCGTTGGACCCGAAAAGAGGTTGCGGAACACAGTGCATGCTTATATCCCCTGGTAGTTCCGTAATCTACTCTACTCCTGACTGTACCTGATATCTGACAAAAAACAGTCCCGGTTAGCTCTGGTACCAAATCTGCACCATTTAGTAGCCAGTCTCCGGTAAAACCCACATTGGGTCTTCGGGTCCCGGTCGGTACGCGATCTCCTTATTTCCGGTACCCGTACCAAACTGGGGCCGGCTTCAACTCAAAGCAAAACCAAACGCAAAGCTCAAATCCGAGATACTAAAACCATCCAAAAAACATCAAAACAACAACAGGCTACCTACGAGCAAAACATGCCTCCTTGTCCCGTATGAACATCTGAGCATGACCCTCATGTTATTGCCCCTATCCCGTTGAACCATCTGATCGTGACCCTCACGTTATTGCCTCTATCTTGTTGAACCAGTCAGAAGCTCGTATGGTGCTGCATATCTCTACGAGTTTCAATCAGAATGGGCAAACAAACACTGACAGACTACTACTTGGAGCTATCTACATACTCCTAAGTGCATATCCGGGAAACATACATGTGTTGCAGTAAATGCAGAAATCTAGGCCAATATGCTTTACTCTAGCTACTGCAAATACACCAAAACGGGGATGTAACTCCTACATACCAATCAAACTTTACCCCTTCCATATTCCTACCAACTATGTACCACAGATCCAGTCACGTGTGAGTTTCCAGATCTCCTCCCTTCCTGTACAGAAACACTTGATTGTTCTCTTCATGAACTCCTCCGGGAAGTCCTTCAGCCTCAGCTCTCTGCTGAGTGTCAACACTCTCCATGGTATCTCACACCGTATGGTCGTATTGATATCTATACGGTGCAGATAGCTGGCCACAACTGCGCTCTTCTGCTGCTTGCTTCCCCAAGACTGATAGTACTGTCCGGTCTTGAATTCCAGAGTCTCATTCTCCCAGACTGATTTCTCGTTCTTCGATACCTGAATGCTGCCCACGTACGGTGCTGCTATGTAGGTGCGCATTTCCAGTCCTAGGAAGTCCCACACGCCTGTTCCTTCGTCTGTCCTCTTCAGAGTTAGATTATTAGGATAACAGGCTTCGAACTCCATCCGGATCTTCGCCTCCCTTCTGGTATCCCGCTTCATTCCCACGTCGATGATGAGACTAACGTCGTCCATCAGTCGCAGTCCGCGTACCTTTCTCTTCAAACTGCCAAGATTACTCAGAAATCTGTATTCCGAGTAAGCACATAGTATGCATGCCAACGGTGGGCTTGTGCTCTTACCCATCGGTATTCCCACAACTTGTTGTAGGAGCACTCCCGTTGCATATACATATGTGTGTTCCAAGTCGATCTGCACGAAATTCTTGATGTCGTCCAGGCTCATTTCCCTCCAATGGTCTGCTCCAGTCGTCTTGCCGAATGTGCTCCCTTTACCTCGCGTATTCACCCGTATGGTACTTCGTCCCTTACTCGCATAGTGGTCAATGATCCAATTGACTGCTTCCATGATGTCCGGATGCGGCTATTTTGCTGAACATGTCCTTAATATCATAGGACATGGCAACCAACTGAACAGTAGAGCTAGCTTTGGCGTCGCATCTACTGCTGATCTTCTTGATGCGCTGAGCAACGTCTGTGACTGATCGCATGTTGAAGTGCGAATACGCGGACAAATTGAACAGCAAATGATTCAGTGCTTTCGCGACGCCTTTCCCTGTTTTTGTAGCTGGGTCACAGTAAGACGGGCAGATGGGTCGGTACCTCTCTGCATCCTTGTGTTTCGGCAGTATATATGCTGCGCCGTAAGTCCCTTGATTCTCGTATCTTGTGAACTTTACGAGGTCCTTCTCCTTGAACGTTGTTGACACCTCCTGCTTCACTTCCTCCTCACTCAGTTGCACAACTCGGTACCCTGGGCTGGTGACGAAAGTGCCCATCATTGCCTCGAAGTACTGGTACGGGCACATAGCATACGTCTCGCCTTGGTTCCTATCCATTGGTGACAGGACCAGACCTTTGAAACGCCTCCTTGTTTCTTGCACAACCTCAATGTCCAAATAGTTATCCTCGACTGTACTCCGACTGATCATGCATGATCGTACTTCTTGTATCATCACCTCCACTCGCTTTCCTCCATTATTTCTCCATTGTCCGAAGGCTTCCTCAATTTCCCGGCATAGTGACTTCACTTGGTCCGGATGTCGCGCCTTAGGTATGTTGTTGGCGTTACAGATCATCGGGTGCACGCCTTGCACCTCATGCACTCGGAAGCTGACATGTTCCCCTACCCTTGGGTATGGGAGACCCGCGCACGTGCAGGTAGACACAACCGCTCGGGCGTATACCCTCTGGTTGTGCAATATTTCCGCCACGGTCCTGTTTTTTGCCCAGACCGTGCGTACTTTACTCCTTGCCCGCTTTGTCATGCATGGGGGTAACTCAAGACTCGATCTTGTCGTTAACAATTTTTCGTACCTCCGCTAGTTTCACTCTGTCGTCGTACTTCACTTTCACAGTTAGATGTGCTCCCATCACCCATCCGGTTTGTTGCTTGATCGTCCGTCCAATGATTCGCCTTAGGTACGACCTTGTCGAATTTTGCTGGAAGTCCTTGGCTGCCTTGTTCAGTCGAAACATGGTGTCCACGTTGGCCGATTCGACTTGCTGGATCCTACGTGGATTGCGCAACAGCGCTACCAACCTCTTCTTGTCAGGACCGCTCCTTGGTTTCCATTTCCTGAGATACTTCACGTGGACCGTTTTCCCTTGTTCCACATAGCTTCTACTTTTACTCAACTTCATCACCTGTCCACCGATTTCTACCGTAGCGGCTCCAAATGCTTTTCTGACCTTTCTCCACCCATCCATCCAGCTATTTCCTCCAGTCGAATACAACTCAAAATTCCTCTTACCTTTCCGTTCCAATTTCTCCAACAGACTAAACACGTTACATTCCCATTCCTCCTCAAGCTTCAGTCTAACTCGTACTATCTCCACCGCTAACCCGTCCCTGTTCTTCATAGGCTTGTTACACACCTTCTCCCGTTCGGCTTTGCCTAGCCGTTGTTTCTACTTTCTTTTAGACTTCTTCTTCACCGCTCCGCAAACGTTCAGCACAGGTGTCCATTTGCGTATGTACAGTTGCTCGAGGCTCATCAGGTTAGGCGTCGTCGTTTCATCGATAGGTAGAATAACATAGGGTTCCATACCATATGTTCTCCACCATCTATACAAGTGTGTGTTCTTCTCTGATTTGGTACATGCTGCCACGTGCTCCTTCCATCTCACGTTGACGTCCCGACTTGTCTGTCCAATATATGATGCTTTACACCTCGGTGACACCAGCGCGTACACTCCCTTATGCCTCTCCAGAAACCCTGTACCGTGCTTCTTGTAGAGCCGTATCCAGGATGCTGTATATTTCTGTAGCCAGTTCACTTTTCCCATCGCTCCTAACAGAACAGTGACAACCCGATATAGTCTCTCCGCGGCGAAATCCTGTAAGGATCGTTTGCGGTAGTCTATGAGCCAGTGACAAAGCCCCCATAGCTCGTGCCCGATGTCCGCGAGTCAGTATTCGTCTTCTTCTTCGTCTCCGTCTCCGCTCGATTCTTCAGATACAGCTTGGTCTTCCGCTCCTGCTTCCATGGTTGTGTCGCCTGCAGCTTCATCTTCCCCGTAGGCCTCCTCCGCTCGCTTCTCGGCGACGTTGATGACGGCGAGGACTTTGTTTTCGTAGTCAAGTTCTTCACGGCAGCAGATGCGCTTCAGGTCTTCTGCATGGAAGTCCGCCAGCTGTCGCATGTTGTCCACAACGAACTTCGTCTTCGCGGCCGCTCCGATTGCAGCCGCTATCTTCGTCTTCGGTGTTCCCTTCTTGGGTGTGTATCGTGTGGGAGTACGGTTATTAACTTCGTCTTTCTTGCTCTTGGTTCCTGTCTTCTTTGCTACTGTAGTTTGCAGCTTGGCTGCCAGTTTTACCGGTTTGATGTTCGATTTTCTCGGCGTACGTTTAGGCGGTAGCTCCATTGGCGGACTGTTGCCAATAGCCTTGTCCGGACTTCGCTTGCACTTCTCTTTGATGGAGAGGCTCTTTGCTTTCTGATTAATCTCTTCAACTTCGCTCGCTGTCCGTTCGCTAGTGTAGGACGCCGGTGATGCCGATGATGCTGGCGATGTTACTTGCTGCTTCCCTCTGATAATCGCTTGGACGGCCTCCATATTCCTCCTCATCTCGCCCTGCATTTGTTCCCGTAGGCTTCCGACGCAGACTGCCATGTGCAGTCTCATCGCCTTGCTGAACTCCATCTTCTCCTCTTCTTCCTTCTTCTTCTTTGCTAGCTTCTTTGCTGCTCTCATTTCCTTGGCTTTGCGCGCTTCCTCCTTGGTGAATAGTTCCGCTTCTTCTCGTTGCATCCGCTCCAGTTTCTCCTGCTTCTTCCATTCTTTTGCCTCCTTCTTGTTCTCTGTCTGGATATACTCCTGGAAGAGTGCCACGGATTTGTCGAAGTCCTCCAGTTGCTTCTTCATTGCCACCTCAGCTCCTGGTTCTTGACTTGGCATGCCTGAGCTACTTGCTCCGCCTCTCGCTGATCCCGTCTCACTTCTCTTCCAGCATTGATTACGGTAGTGTCCAGGCTCACCGCATTCGAAGCATATGGGCGGCCCTCTTCTTACGTGCTCCCCTCCACCATATCCGCGTTCACTCCCCCGTTCATGGCCTTCCTGGTAATCGTCGCGGCTTCGCCCTCTGGGTCTATCCCTCGGTTCCTCTCGTTTAGTGTCACGTCCCCTTTCATACTGTTCATTTCTCTCGTCCCTACCATATCCTCGATAACTTCGATCGCTCATCTCGTCCACTCCAGTGACCGTAACGTGCTCCTCCTCAATCTGTAAGTCGTCTCTCTTCTCCTGCTTTGACTGGTACACAAATGCTAACTCCGTCTGTGAATGGTTGCCGTAACTCTATTTCGTTCACTTCATCGAAGGACGTCAGATCCACACAGAATGTCTTACATGTTCACACAGCACCCAGCAACACGTCTCCAGGCGGGTTCACATGCACTTTCCAGATATATGTTGAAACAGATATTGCAATGGAATTAGCAGAGCAGTAACACAACAAACTCGTAAGAGGCTGCAATGATCAGCAAAGCAATAACAAAGCAAAATCGAGTATCCATCGGTGTTACCGAACACAAAGAAAGTGTCATCAGATGTCAGATACAACTGTGTTCTGGGCGGGTATGGCACCCCGACCGGTTTCGACCGCCTCCACGCGGTCTTCTTCAGGGGAAAACAACCTTCTTCTCCCGACACTGCTCGTTCCTTCCACTACCCTCCTCCGTCTTCGAGACATCCAGCCATTTCCGGAATGACCGGCTCCCGTAGCCGTCGGACCCGACAAGAGGTTGCGGAACACAGTACCTGCTTATATCCCCTGGTAGTTCCGTAATCTACGCTACTCCTGACTGTACCTGATATCTGACAAAAAACAGTCCCGGTAAGCTTTGGTACCAAATCTGCACCATTTCGTAGCCAGTCTCCGGTAAAACCCACATTGGGTCTTCGGGTCCCAGTCGGTACGCGGTCTCCTTATTTCCGGTACCCGTACCAAACTGGGGCCGGCTTCAACTCAAAGCAAAACCAAACGCAAAGCTCAAATCCGAGATACCAAAACCATCGAAAAAACATCAAAACAACAGCAGGCTACCTACGAGCAAAACATGCCTCCTCGTCCCGTATGAACATCTGAGCATGACCCTCACGTTATTGCCCCCATCGAAAACATGCTCGCGCACTCACTAAATTTAATTCTCTTTTTATTTTTATTTATTTTTATTATTAGTATTTGTTTTTCGTATTTTATTTTTATTTCAAATTTGGTAAGGAATTCGGATGTAATG